CAGGGAAACTTAATTTAAATAATATATTTTCTCTAACCCAATACATCCAAAATACTGTTATTATGACATGAAATCAACATAAAATTTTTACCACTGCTTTAGTTTTTAAATGTAAATTTTTAAAAATTGTGTTCCCCAGTTATACCAGCCACACTTTAAGTGCACAGTAGTTACCTGTGTCTAGTTTTGGACAAGATAGCTATAGACAATTGTGAGATTATTTAGCAGCTTAATAATCCATCAAAAGTTGTATCTCAGGAAAATTTATTTTCAGTAAAATGCAGAATGAATTGAAGGGTGTGATGGTTGAGGGAGAAGACAGAAGTTAAATCTGGAATGAGTTACAAGTGGGTACTAGAACGGTAGCAGTGGAGGTGTCGAAAGGATAGAACAAATCTGAGAGATCTTTCAAAGAAATAACTGGTATGCCTTGATGACTGATGGGCAATGAGGAAAGAAAAAAAAATCAAGTATGACAGCCACCTCCAAACAGCCAGAAAGGATCCTTGCATCTGAACATGCAAACTCATAAAATCTTCTATACTGTACTGGGGTTGCCCACAGGACCAACAAAATAAGCAGTAGTGATGGATATAAGACACTGTGGCTTCTGAGTTGGTGGCTCTTTCTCTGGGCTCTCTCTCTCCAGAGGAAGCCAGCTGCTACACTGTAAGAGACTCAAGGAGAGACCCTTGTGAAAGCACCTGTAACCTGCCAACAACCACATGAGTTTAGAAGCTGAGCATGCAGATGACTGCAATCCCAGCCAATGCTTTGCAGCCTCATAAGCGACCTTGAGCTAGAACCACCTGGCTAAGTCTCTCCCTGATTCCTGAGCCTTGCAATCTCTGAGAAACAATAAATGTTGGTTTCTTTAAGCTGCTAAATTGTAGGGGTAATTTGTCACAGAAATAGATAATTGAACAATAATAAAAAAGACAAAATCAAACATGAATAGAAAGATAACCCAATTTAAAAATAGGCAAGAAAATTAAAAGAAGATAATAAGCCTATGAAAAAGTGCTCAACATCATTAGACATCAGGAAAATTAAAATCAAAACCACAAGGAGATAACACTACATACACACCAGCATGACTAAAATGAAAAAGACTGGCAATACAGAATGTGGCTGAGGATATGAAGCAACCAGAATTCTTTACTTAAAAATTAAGATATAATTTATATGCCACAAAATTCACCCATATAAAGTATATGATTCAGTCAACCATCACCACTATCCATTTTACAATATTTTCATTTTAGTGTAACCCAATCACCACCACTATTCTTTTTAGAATATTTTCATTACTCCACCAGAAAACCCTGTACCCCTTAACTGTCACTCTCTAATTCTCCTACCTCCTTTCAAACCTTAGGCAACCTCTAGTCTACTTTCTATCTGTACACATTTGCTTATTTTAGATACTCATGCAAATGGTATTATGTAATATGTGGTCTACTGTGACTGGCTTCTTTCATTTAGCACGGTGTTTTCCGTGTTGGCTCATGTTGTATCATGATGTATCGGTACTTCATTTCTGTTTCTTGCCAAATAATACTTCATTGTATAGATATGTAACTTTTGTTTTTACCTACTTATCAGTTGATGGACATATGGGTTATTTCTACGTTTTGACAATTATGAATAATGCTGCCATAAACATTATGTACAAGTTTTTGTGAGGACTATGTTTTCATTTATTTTGGGTATTATACCTAGGTATGGAATTGTTGGGTCATATGGTCACTCTGTTTAACCATTTGTGGAACTGCCAGATGTTTTTCCAAGGTAGCTGCACCATCGTACATTCCCACCAATGGTGTCTAAGGATTCCAAATTCTCCTCACTAGCACTTGTTTTTTTTTTTTTTAAATTACAGTGAGTATGAAGTCATTGTGGTTTTGGTGTGCATTTCCCTGCTGCCTAATAATGTTGAGCATCTTTTCATATGATGATTGATCATTCATATGTCTTTTTTGGAGAGCTGTATAGTATATTCTAATTTGTTATCCATTTAAAAATTCTGTTATTTAAGTGGTGATAGTTCTTTATATATTCTAGATAGCTTTTTATCAAATATGTCATTTGTAAACATTTTTCCCAATTCTGTGGATTGTCTGCCACCAGAATTCTTGTCCAAAATGATACAAACACTTGAAAAGGGTCTGGTTGTTTCATATAAAACCAAACATTGACCTACCGTATAAACAAGACATTCTATGTATAGATATTTACCCAAGAGAAAAGGAAAAATTTGTCTGCAAAAGATTTACACAAGAATGTTTACAGCAGCTTTATTCATAGTAGCCCCAACTGGCAACAGCCCAGGAATCTATCAAGAGGAGCATGGATCAATAAACTGCGGCGTATCCATATAATAAAGTATTAATAATAAAATAGAGCAAACTACTGATACATACGATATGGACATTTTGCTAAGTGGAAAATCACTCTACACAAAAAATGCACACGATATGATTCCATTTTATATGAATTTTTAGAAAATGCAAAAGTAATCGAGAAAAAATCAGACTGGGTGCAGTGTCTTAACACCTGTAATCTCAGCACTTTGGGAGGTCAAGGTGGGCAGATCTCGTGAGCCCAGGAGTTGGAGGCCTGCCTGGGTAACATGGCAAGACCCTATCTCTCCAAAAAAAATACAAAAACTAGCTGTGTATGGTGGCATGTGCCTGAAGTCCCATCTACTCAGGAGGCTGAGGGGGAGGATTGCTTGAGCCCAGGGAGGTTGAAGCTGCAGTCAGCTGTGATTGTGGCACTGTACTCTAGCCTGGGCGATAGCGTGAGACTCAGCCTCAAAACAAACAACAATGGTTTTCAAAATAGAACAGTGGTTGGCTCTGGGGTGGGGGTGGAGTGGGGAAAGCAGTGTTAGGCAGAGAATGACGGGAAAATCGTAAGAGGAAGCTTTCTGGGGTGATGACAATGGTTTATATCTCAGGAGTTTTGGTTGCACAAGTGTATACATTTGTCAAACTCAGTGAATGTACACTTAAGATTTGAGCATTTCACAGAATATAAAGTTTGTCTCAAAAGGAAAAATTACATGTAAACAAATATTTAACTCTATAGATAGTAAGACACATGCCATATTTTGGGAGAAGTAAAACAATGCCTGTAATTAACTTTGAAATGCATTAAAAATAAGATATTTGGGATAAGGAATAAAGCAAGATAAAATGTAAATCTAGGTAGAATCTGTGTGGTGAGCATATAGGTGTTTACTTTAAATTTTTATAACTTTGCTAGATGTTTGAAAAATCTTCAAAATAGAATGTTAAGATAATTTTTTCAAAGGACTGTGGTTTCTAGAGCTGGAAGCCAGAAGATTGATAGCATCATTGGAAGACATAGAGAATTTAGGAATAGGAAGGACAGTTTGGTGGAAGGTGTGGCACAACTGACAGATCTTGAATACCTAAAAGGTCCTAAGTAATTTATGCACATATTTCCATCTGGGTTTATTTTATTTTTTAGCTGGAGTCTTGCTCTGTTGCCAGGCTGGAGTTCAGTGGTGATGTGATCTTGGCTCACTGCAGCCTCCACCTCCCAGGTTCAAGTGATTCTCCTGCCTCAGCTTCCTGACTAGCTGGAATTATAGGTACATGCCACCACGCCCAGCTAATTTTTGTGTTTTTAGTAGAGACGGTGGCCAGGATGGTCTCGATCTCTTGACCTTGTAATCTGCCCACCTCGGCCTCCCCAAGTGCTGGGATTACAGGCGTGAGTCACCATGCCCAGACTTTCCATCTGTATTTTAATGGATCTTCACAAACACCTCTAGTCTTTAGTTATCAGCACACCCATTTTCAGATGAGAAAATGGAGTTTCTGAAAAGCTATATAATTTGCTCAATGTCATTAAACTATTAAGTGTGCTGGGGTAGGACTGATTTTCATAATTTGCAGGCCTACCGTAAAATGAAAATTTGTGGTTCCTTATTCAAAAATTATTAATAGCACAGCATTAAAACAAGCACAGCGCCCTTCTAACGATGGGGCCTTGTGAGACTCAGATTTCACACATGTGATGCTGTGGTGACAAGGAAGATTTGAATCTCAGTCTGTCTGACAGGTAGGTCCATGCTTTTTCCAAAAAAGCATGCTAGGTCAGATGACTGGTTTATTGTTCTGCGCAGTGAATGAAACATGATGATGATGTCAGATGGTGATGTCCCGTAGGCCATTAAAAACCAAATTGCAGGTAAGGAGTTCCTTCGGTGCTGTTTGTTGCCTGTCCTCTTCTCAGTGGGCATTTGGTTATTACATTTGACCTAGGTTAGCAAAGTAATTTTTGATCAAAGTCTCAACAAGTGTATCTCTTTAAATATCATGGTACTAAGAAAATGTCTTTCATGTGTCCTCTCTGAAATTTGTCACCGGATTTCTTCTTTCTGATAAATGTGTCAATACTTTAGTGGCGATGAAATGTTTTCTGCTGGACATCTGGGTGGGTCTGGAACGCTTTCCTCAATTTAACAGGGGATCCTAGTGGTTGGGTTATATGTTGGTTTCATTTAAGAGTAAGCTACTTTCTGAATGTAATTATGCTTTCACTGATAACAGTAGCTTTTACTTTAGTTGGGAAGACATCTCTATTACCTCCTAATTAGACAACTCTTGTCTGTCTTTGAGGAAGAATTGAGGGACTTACAACTTTTCCCAAGAAAACTGAAAATGTCTCAATCCTAATGTTAAAGGAGTTCTGCTGTACTGGGTTAAGAATAAATAAACTACACCGATGTCCTTTATCAAGCGTAATTCCTCTACTTGATTCTCAAAGAATACTAAGTTTACATTTTTAGTTAAAAACTACTAAAATTCCAGAAAAGTGTTTCACAACAGTTCCTGCTGGTCAAACTGGCAGGTCAAGCCTGGACTACAGATGGGGCTTTGGGCTAAGACGGCCTCTAGAGGGCAATCTCCTTTCCTGCGAAACCGCCCTGGTCGGCTCTCTTCTCCGTCGCCCCGCCCCGCCTCAGCTCGCTCTCCGCCTTCTCCCAGGCCCAGTCTCGGATCTCAGGCCACGCCCCGTTCCCATCTCCCTTCCCCGCCCTCAACGATTTCCTCCTGGCGTCGTTCTTGCCACGCCCCTCTGCGTGGCGTAGCGGAAAAGGCCGCTCTGGCCGCCTGGAGGACTTGTCATCTGTGCGCGACGGCGCAGGCCGGTGGTGGGCGGGGCTCACGTGAGGGGGTGGAAGTGTCCCGGTGCTTTTCGCTTTGCTGCTTTAGCTCCCCAGTGTTTGGCGATGGGGCAGCTGGAGTTCTGGAGGTTCATGTCAAGGTGAGTGAGCGAGCGAGCTGCCAGGGGCAGGCCCTTCAGCGGCTTTCGCCGAAGAGGGGAAAAGGGCCGGGGGTGGAGACTGCTGGCTTCGAAGTTTCGAGTCGCGCTCGGAGGCGCAGTTGTGAGACCCCAACCTTGGCCAGCCCCAAGCCCCAACCCGCCTCCCTGTCTCTTCTTTCTCCCTCTAGCATCTTCTTTGCAGCAACACCCTCGTTTTCTGCCTCTGGCTCTCAATTCAGCCTTGTCCCCACACGACTGTCGTTCTTTTGGCTTCAATTTCTTTCCTTCAAAGTTGGGTGCACTTTGGGGACCCGGAGGGATTCAGCTTAGAGGAATTGTGCGGCATGTTTTGTGGAACCAGTGCACACAGGCGTTTTGCCACTTGCTGCAAGTGATTTTATTGAGCTTTCAATAAAGCTCAATGTGGTGTGATTTTATTCAGCTTTCTTGCATGGCTCCGGCGTCAATACAGGCGTCTGGAACTTTCAGGCTAGTGTTGCCGATATTTAACGCGGCATGGGGGAACATGTTTGCAAAAGTTGTTTAACTTTTCGAAAGTACCCCTCACTGCGCCTTGAGCTCAGCCTAGGAAAGCTGGTAGCCGTCATCTGCAGGAAGTTAGGCCTCCTGAGTCTTGAGTAGCCCACGGCCTGGTCATGCCGTCATTCCAGGTAGCAGCTGCGTCCATTTGAAGGGAGAAACATCCTTATTTCCTTAAAGTAAGGACAACTTAAATTACTGGGTTCTTTAAGCCTTAAAATTTGCCTTCCGGGTTTCCTGCAAAGGAATAAAAGTGTTTCTTTGACTTGAGAAGAATAGTTTCAGTGGAAAGTGTTTAGGTGTCTAACGCTATATCCACAGACCTGATTGTCAGAAGATTCTTGTTATTTATACATTGAAGAGTTGCTTTTCTGCTCGTTTTTTCAATACCTTAAAATTAGTTGTCCTTGCACCATCTCGTGGAGAGATTTAGTAAATACTAAGAAAATCAGGACACATAATCGTTGCTGCTGCTTGTTCAGTGTTGTCAGCAAATAGCAAATTGAGAAACAAATTGGAAAGATGTGTTTGTTAAAGTTAACTGACTTGGAGAGGCTCTGTCATTCCCACGGTTCAGCTTGGCTTTCTTCCACCCTGTGTTCCAAGCTGGAGACTTTGGAGGTCGGCCAGGACTGTTTTGGGGCCTTTGATCTGAGATGCCTTTTCCAGACTCAGCCCTGGAGTGGGCATTATCCTAGAAATCAGAGGCCAAGGTGGTCCAGTCCACAACAGCCTAACCCACAAGTATGTAAGGGAAGTGTTTCTGAGAGAAAAAAGGGCCTCGGGCCATTGTTGACAGTGTTGGGCACCCACCCTTGAACTCTGGTATCCCTTGGCTTCTCTAGTACTGGCCTACTTTCCTAATGCCACTTTTCAGCTCGTCTTCTCTTACCCCAGTGCAATTTAGCTCTTGGAGGTTTTTTTCGTTCCTAAATAAATCATCTCTTAGGATAACTCAAATTTTTGCCTCACCTGACTTGCCCTAAGCTGTAGTACTGGTCCAACCCTCTGAATGTCTCAGATGCACCTCATATATAAATTTGCACATAAGGGCTAGGCACAGGGGCTCACACCTGTAATCCCAGCACTTTGGGAGGCCGAGGCAGGCATATCATCTGAGGTCAGGAGTAAGACCAGGTTGGCCAACATGGTGAAACCCTGTCTCAGTGATAAATACAAAAAAAGTAGCTGGGTGTGGTGGCAGGTGCCTGTAATTCCAACTAATTGGGAGGCTGATGCAGGAGAATTGCTTGAACCTGGGAGGCGGAGGTTGCAGTGAGCCGAGATCGAACCACTGCACTCTAGCCTGGGCGACAGAGCAAGACTCCATCTCAAAAAAAAGGAAAAAAGGAAAAAAAAATTTGCACATAAGTGTAACTGTCACTCTCTCTCTCTCGGCACTGTCATTCCTCTAGAGTCTCAGAGTTATCTAAGTTCTCCCACGCTCCCAGACCTTACCTCTTCCTGCGGATTCAAGTTTCATCAATAGTCTCAAATTTATCACTTTTTCATCTTCGCAGTGTGAATTGTTTTTGTATATGATTGCCAGGTTAATCTTGCCAAAGTTTACTTCAGTGCCTGCCATTCTTCTGCTCAGAAACTCAGAGGTGCCCGTCTGAGAGCTTATGCCATTAAGTACAAATTTACCAGCCTGGATTTCACAGATTTGGCCCCAGTATATTTGTGAATGAACAATTACCTACTGTTCTGTTCTACTTGCTGAGAAGCACAGTTGTAGGCATTTCTATTATCCTGTAGCCACCCTGGACTGCTCGGTGTTCCTGCTGTTCCTTATGTAAGGCCCTTGGAGTCTGAAAGGAGAGCAGATAGATAGCAAATAGCGAACAGTAATTTTTAGTTACCAATTCTGGTAAGTGTCTTAAGGGAAAAGTACAGTGACGAGAGCCAGATTTAGATACGGAGAGGGAGTCAGGAAGCCTCTTCAAAGAGGTTGCTCTTTGCTGGGTATGGTGGCTCATGCCTATAATCCTAGCACTTTGAGAAGCCAAGGTGGGAGTTTAAGACAATCCTGGGCAACATAGCAATACTCTGTTTGTATAAAAAATAAGAAATAAAAAAACTAGCTGGATATGGTGGCATATGCCTTTCCTTCCAGTGTGGGAGGCTGAGGTGGGAGGATTACTTACGCCTAGGAGTTCAAGTTTACAGTGAATTATGAATGCACCACTGCTTGCCAGCCTGGGCAACACATCGAAACCTAGTCTCTAAAAAAAAAATAATAAGAGGTTACTTTATAGGTTGTTAATAGGCCTCATTGCCTTTTCCATCTGCTCTGTACTCTGCTGAACTATATTGTTTTGGTTTTTGCTCTTTGACTGCCTCTATTCTGTTTTACTTCTATTTTGTTTTGTTTATTTAGAGACGGAGTCTCGTACTGTCGCCTGGGCTGGAGTGCAGTGGCGTGATCTCAGCTCACTGCAACCTCCGCCTCCTGGGTTCACATGATTCTCCTGCCTCAGCCACCTGCCCTAGTAGCTGGGATTACAGGTGCACACCACCACACTTGGCTAATTGTGTGTGTGTATGTGTGTGTGTGTGTGTGTGTGTGTATTTAGTTGAGGTGGGATTTCACTATGTTGGCCAGACTGGTCTTGAACCCCTGACTTCGTGATCTGTCCGCCTCAGCCTCCCAAAGTACTGGGAGCCACCCGGCCTCTTCTCTTTTACTTCTACTTAGTTGTTTCCTAGTTGATCAAAGGCTCAATCTTTGATGCTGTTAGGTTTTTTCTGGGTTAGGAATCACTAGCCTGAATGCAGAGGCTGAGAAGGAAGCACTGACAGATGCTGGCTAAGTGGCAGTGTGGGGGACTGGTGAGCTGGAGGGAGTGCTCTAGAGAGGAGGCAGCTTCTCAGCCCCAGGCATTGTTGCCGTTGTAGAATATAGACCCAGGGTTTCCATAACTACTGATTTTTCTGGAAAAACTGCATTTTTAGGTGAAATCTCTTGATATTTAAATGTTAGTATTTTTTTTTCCTTCTTCTTTTTAATCTCTCCCATTCCATGCAGATAATGTTAGTACCTTTAAAACACTGCTGGGCCGGGCATGGTGACTCGAGCCTGTAATCCCAGCACTTTGTGCGGCTGAGGCTGGAGGATCACAGCCGGTGAATTCGAGACCAGCCTGGGCAACATAGACTGTGTCTCTATGAAAAATTTTAAAATTAGCTAGGTGCAGTGGTGTGTGCCTGTAGTCCTAGCTGTTTGGAAGGCTTGAGCCCAGGAGATTGAGGCTGCAGTGAGCCTGTGATCACACCACTGCACTCCAGCCTGGGTGACAGGGTGAGACCCTTTCTCTAAAAATAAATAAATAAATAGAATACAAAAATAAAAGGCTGCTGACCGAAACCACAGTTGCAGTTGGCAGGTGGCATCCTTCTGGCAATTAGTTTTCAACTGCAGCTTTCTCATTTATTCCTTATAGAGGGCTGAGAGATTCCCATCTCAATGATTTTACATGCATGTGGCGTAAGGCATCCCTTCAGTCCTAACTGTTCTTTCAAGCTCTAGTCTCTTTTTCTCTGTTGAATATTTCTGCTTATGGCAGACAAACTGAAATTCAAAATCAAATTTATGTTACATCCTGCAAACCAGCTAGCTTCTTTCCCTGTCTTTTTTATGTTCTCCTAGTTGTCCTGGCTTGAAATCTTAAAGTTGTTTTTGACAGTCTTTTCCCTTGAGTTTTTACTTCATAATCTTAATATCACGCCCCTCTGTTTTCACAGCTGCTGTTCGTCATCACCCCATGCCTAAATTATTGGCCTCCTGGACTTGATTTTCTGCTCTATTCACACCTTACCTACTTCTAGGATAATTTCACTAAGCACTACTTTCATGATGTCTTCCTGCTTCAACAGTTTCATGTAGTTTGTTTAATTTCGTGAGGCCATGTTTGTTTTATTGGACACTTGCAAGAAGTTCCTGAGTCAGACAATTCTCATCTAAGACAGTTGTTTATTTAAACTTCATACATCATAACCACCTGGAGGATTTGTTAAACACAGATTTCTGGGCTCCACCATTTATTTCTTGTTCAGTAGATGTGGGGTGGGGCAGAGTTTCCAACAAGTTTTTAGGGGATGTTGATGGTCCTTGTCCAAGAACCATACTTTGAGAATGACTGTTGTAAAAAGCCAAGTTGACATCAGCTGAAGGAAATAAGCCTGATGAAAGTTAATTAAGAAATTAGAAGTAGTGGAGATGTGCATGCCCTCTTCCTCTCCACCAGATGGCAGTTTTGGAGCCAGTAGAAAGGAAAGATCATAAATTCAGAAGCACTTGGGGCACTGAATTCTCAAAGACATTTTGAGGTATAAAAGCTAATATCAAATTTTAAATGACAGATGAGTATGAATTTGAATGAAAGCAGTATGATTATATAGAATTTGGCAAGGAATTTGGTTGTATTTATGTATTTTTTGTAGTAATTGGTCCACAGATTTTTGTGACCTATAAATACTGTGCACGGTGGCTTTGCACTTGTGTTTGGTAGGTTTACATTAACTTTCTCTGAGTTAAATAAAATTATCTTTTATGTATAAAACTGGGACTTGGAGCTAGGCCCGAGTTCTCTTGCAGTCAGTACTTAAACTGTTAGATAAGACTTGCAAATCTGGGAACACCTTCTTTAACTTTGAAATGACATTTGGGTACTGGCCTCATTAAGGAATCCAAAGTCATTCTGGATCTAAAGAAGTTAACTCTTAAATTTTTCAGTACTTAAAACTTCCAAAAAGATAAAATTGAGTCAAGTTGAAAACATTTTAGAAATGGTGTTTTAGGGTAGTGTAGTTCAGACTTTAAAAGTAGTTCTGAAAACCTTGGTTAGAAAGTATCCCTAAATAAGATACAACCTGTCACTTCAGTTTCATAATTATAAAGTGTTAGTGTTGATTTTTAATGACAGCTTCCATTCTTTGAAATCATTTAGGGGAGCTTCAAACAATATCTGTGCTTGTGCCCCACCTCCAGAGTTTGAATTAATTGATCTTGGTGTGACCTGGGCTTTGGAATTTTTATGAGTTTCCAGGTGATTTTCTTTTTTTTTTTTTTTGAAGACGGAGTCTTGGCTGTTGTCTCGGAGACTGGAGTGCAGAGGAGCAATCTCAGCTCACTGCAACAACCTCGGCCTCCCGGGTTCGAGCTATTCTCCTGCCTTAGCATCCTGAGTAGCTGGGATTACAGGCACCCACCACCACTCTCAGCTAATTTTTGTACTTTTAGTAGAGACTGGGTTTTGCCACATTGTCCAGGCTGGTCTCAGACTCCTGACTTCAGATGGTCCGCCTGCCTCAGCCACCCAAAGTGCTGGGATTACAGGAATGAGCCACGGTGCCTGGCTGAGTTTCCAGGTGATTCTAATGTACAGGCCAGTCTTGGAAATCAACGGGCTAGAATGAGATATTTTACTTGTGCTGAGACAAATTAAAACAATGCTAGTTCAGGAATGTGAGCTATGACTGATTTAAACAAATAGTTCATTTCTCCTTTTTTAATGCTATTATTCAATTTGAATGTAGTATAAAAGGAAAGTACTATAAATTCTGAAAAGTTGGATTACAAATATTTTTTGTAAATCCAGTCATCCAAGTTGTAATTACAAGTGGTAACTGGTCATATTGCCTTTCGTGAAACCTCAGCTAGGCTGTTCCTCTTCATATAATCTCAGTATCCTTGAAAAATTAACAGATTGTCAATTTATCAGTTCCGGTAGATGGTATACGTATCTGCACGTGTGCACAGCTCTTATCAAGCTGCTGCAGCTACTGAGTCTAGCTTTGACCTCTTTCCATAGATCTTAAATTTAGCTTCTTAAACAAAAAGCACACAGTATATTCTAACTGTAGTATTTTTATATGCCTATCTGTCACTGCATTGTGGTTTTTTCAAGGGCAAGAGCTGTGTCTTTTGGGAAAAAAAGGCCCAAAGCATAATGATACAACTTGATGAATTTTCACAAACCAAACATGCCTAAATAACCAGCACCTGATCAAGAAACAAGCTATGCCAGCATTTCAGAGGCCCTCCTCATGCCTCTTTCAATCACTACCCTTCCCCTTGTTGCCTTTTACTTTCTTACTATAATTTACATAAAGCACTTGAGTACACTATTCTGAAGTTTATAGCTCAGTGAACTCACATATATATATATGTGTATATATATATATATATATACACGCACACATATATATCTGCTGTCCTGTAATCAGCATTGGGATAGAGACAGTTTCCAACATTCCTGTTTGTTCATGCCCTTTTCCAGGCCCCCCCACCTGCACCATTCTCACGTCCATTACTAGTGGGCACTTCGGTCAAACTGTGTTTTAGGCTTTGTTTTCCTGGCCCAACAAGTGCTTTTAAAACAGCAAATATAGAAGTGTGTTGTGTTTATTATTTTGTAGTCTGCTCTCCTGTTGTCATTTCTGTCATGACGACTTTTCCATGTTACATATTTAAATACTCGTTAGTATTTTTAGTGGTTGTGTAATAGCTATGTGTGTTAATAGGTGATACAGTCTTTAAAATAATGCTATATTCTTAGACATTTACTTTGTTTTCAGTTTTCCCATCATGTAAATCATTGTGAACATATTTATCAATCAAACTTCGGTCATACTTCTGAGATTTTCCTAGTGCACATGCTTGTGGAGTTACTGGATTGAAGGGTATGATCATTGTAAAGGCTGTGGATTTGTATTTCCAAACTATTTACTGGAAAGGCAGTACCAATTTATACCTCTCTACAGTGTCCGAGAATGCTGTTTATGTTGCATCTTTAATAAAGCTTTTTTTCTTTAGATTAACGACTTTATTTTTCAGATTAGTTTTAAGTTGAAAAGTTTCAACTCTAAGTTGATTAGTTTTAAGTGGAAAAAATGACTTGCAAATTTGAGCGGAAAAGTTCGACAAATATATAAGGACATATATCAACTATCATAGTATCATACAGATTAGTTTCACTGCCCTAAACATCTCCTGTCTTCTACCTGTTCATCCCTCCCTTTCCCAAGGCCCTGGTAACCACTGATCTTTCTACTGATTTCATAATTTTGCCCTTTTCAGAATATCATACAGTTGAAATCAGAGTATGTAGCCTTTTCAGACTTGCTTCTTTTGCTTAGTAGTATGTATGCATTTAAGTTTCTTTCAGTTTTTTTTTTTTTTGTGGTGTAGTGGCTCATTTCTTTTTTTCATGGCTGAATAATATTTTATATGGTTGTACTGAAATTGGTTTGTCTTTCAACCGTTGAAGAACATCTTGGTTACTTCCACATTTTGGCAATTTTGAATAAAGCTGTCATAAAATTCATTTGCAAAGTGGCTTTACCATTTTATGATCCTACCAGCAGTGAATGAGAGCTAAGCCTTTTAAAACTTTTTCTTATAACAATACCTTTTAGAAGAGGCTGAAACAGAAGGTGATATGCTATTTGTAAACTGAGACATGACTACCCATATTACTGTTCTCATTGTATTCCATATTCGTTTCAGGTTTAATGCATTCAAACGGACTAATATCATACTGCACCATTTGGTAAGTTTTAACTTTGTTTTGCTGGCATTATTTGTATGTGTAACTTAAAATGTAATTGTTAGAGAAGTAGAGAAATACTGATATGGCAGATTTCCTTGACCTTGGTACATCATGCTTCTCAACTGGAGTGTCAAGACATGACATACATACCTTGTAGAAGGTGGCATAAGATTATGGTTAAAAGCATGGTTCTTGCAAGTTAGAATGCCTGAGTTTAAGTAATGGGTTCACTACTTAATCTTGGGTGGATTCCTTGGTATCTTACAGGTTTCCTTTTGATATATATAAAGTGAGGATGATAATAATAGTATCTACCTTAGAGTGCTTATAAATGATAAATAAGATAATTGTATTAATCAGGGTTCTCTAGAGGGACAGAACTAATAGGGTATATGTATATATGAAAGGGAGTTTATTAAGGAGAACTGACTCACATGATCACAAGGTAATCCCACGATAGGCCATTTGCAAATTGAGGAGCAAGGAAGCCAGTTCAAGTCCCAAAACCTGAAAAGTAGAGAAGCTGACAATACAGTCTTCAGGCTGTGGCTAAAGGCCCAAGAGCCTCTGGCAAACCACTCATATTATAAGTACAAGAGTCCAAAAGCTGAAGAACCTGGAGGCTGATGTTTGAGGGCAGGAGACATCCAGCACTGGAGAAAGATAAAGGCCAGAAGACTCAGCAAGTCAAGTCCTTCCAACTTCTGCCTGCTTTTATCCTAGCCTTGCTGGTAGCTGATCAGATGGTGCCCACCCAGACCGATGACGGGTCTGCCTCTCCCAGTCCACTGACTCAAATGTTAATCTCCTTTGGCAATACCTGCAGACACACGCAGGAAAGATACTTTGCAACCTTCAGTCTAATTGAGTTGACACTCAATATTAACCATCACATTAATGCATTAAAAAATTTAACGTAGTGCATAGCATATAACAGTCATTTTATACATGTTAGCTATTATTGTAATGGTACACTGGGAAAGTTAAATATCCATAGTTTATCAGAGTATATGGAAGAAATAAATTTTAATCACTTTTATATCTCTTATAGAGGCTCAAAGTAAATTGCACGTAAAAATAATAAGTCATCTGATATCACTTACTGTATTCTAGGTGGTATTCTAAGTACTTGTCATGTATTAGCTCAGTTAATTCTCATAGTCCTATGGGGTACATACTACAGATCACTTATTTTCAATTCTAACACCCCAAAACCAAAAGTTTTTTGTTAGTTTGCGGCAAATGTATTGGCAAAATCTGACCTGGATGTACTTGAAATTGTTTTAGTGTTTATCCTTACTAGCATGAACACTTATGGTTTGGTGCATAACTATAAAAACACTTTATTACTATGTAATCAGGTATTCTAAGGACCTATACTCCTCTTGGGGTGTTTTATAAAGCATTTAATATGTACTGTTTTCTAGAATCTAGAAAATTTTGTGAATTAAGGGATTGTAGTCTTACCTCTATATAACAGGTCAGAAAGTGAAGGACAGAGAGGCTAAGTAACATGCCCATATGTCAAAAAGCTAGTAATTATGAGGTGTGATTTCAATCCTGGCTATCTGTCTTCATAGATTATCTCATACACTCAATAGCCTCTGACAGAGTGGGCCCTAAGTAACTTGCAATGGGCCCTATTGCAAGTGTGCCTCTATTAAGCCTAAGTGGAGATGGGGATGTGAAGCCTGCCATATCCCTTCCTACCTGTGTTAGTACATTTTCTGTTGCTTAAAACAATACCTAAAACTGAGGAATTAGTAAACAAAAGGAATTCATTTCTTATAGTTAACGGAGGTTGAGAAGCCCAAGGCCAAGGTGCTGCATCTGGTGTGGGCCATTTTTGCAGGTGGGACTTCTCTGTAGAATCCCAAGGTGGTACAGGACATCACATAGCAAGGGGCTAAGCATGCTAGCTCAGGTTTCTCTCTTTCTCTTATAAACCCACAGTCTTACTCCCATAACAACTCGTTGGTTCATTAACTCATTAACCTATTAACCCATTACTTTATGAATGGGTCAGTTCTTTCATTTGAGCAGAACTGTCATGTGCAATCACCTCTTAAAGGACTCACCTCTAAGGCCTTTTGACCTTGGACATCAGCCTCCATAACTACAAGGAAAGGAGAAAATTCCTTTTCTTTATAAATTACACAATTTCAAGTAGTCTCTTGTGAGCAGCAGAAAATGAACTAAGACAATTTGTAAGTTACTGTTAACTCCAGACTTTATTTGGATTTCACCAGTTTTTTTTTTATTATTCTATTCCAGGAATCAATGACACTGCATTTACTTGCCACGCTTTTTAGTCTCCTCTTGTCTGTGATAGTTTCTCAACTTATCTTTCATATTATTCATGACCTTGACAGTTTTAAGGAGTATTGGTCAGGTAGCCTGTAGAATACCATCTCATCTGGGCTTCTCTGTTGTTGTTTTTGATCATTAGACTAGAGTGAAGGTTTTTGGCAAGAATATTGTGACCAGGTTTTTTTTTAGATGTTGTGGGTTCTTGGCCTCCAACTTCTTGGAGTGGCGGGGCTGCTTCAGCTGCACTGTATGCTCACAAGGTAAAATTTCGGACCCAAAACAGTGTTGCAGAAAGGTGATTTTATTTAGGTAGAGAAAAGAGAAGGAAAGGAGAAGAGAAAGGCTTCCAGGAAGAGTGTGGAAGGGGCTTCCAGAGGGAAAATCCCAGAGGGAGCTCCCACCATGTGGGAGGGGATTCCAGAAAGTTGGAAATCCGGCACAGGTGTGGAGCATGGACTTTTATCCTGGGAGAAACCTCCACTTTCTCCAAGACCCTGGGTCAGTGAAAGGAGTTCCTTAGAACTTCCGCTGGAGTGATTGACTTTTAGTTTCTTCCCACGCACACGAAATTCAAGCATAAACCGTTGAATCTCCTGGATGGAGAGAGATGGGAGGGGGGCGTGGTGCTGGGAAATTCTTGCCCTTAAAGCTACACCCGCTCATGGACCTGGAAAGAGAACACATTCCCTTATTCCCCCCTCTGAACAGGAAAATTTAACTTCTGTTGGAATAGGGGTGTTGATCTTTTTTAACTACTTCCTGCTGAAATGGGGCATAGAAGGGGCCCTGCAGTTGAGGTTTCTTCCAGAGGGGAGCCTTTTAGGGGTGCAGGTTGATTTACAGGTTCATGATAGAGCTTACAAGCCAAGGACATCCGGGGTTCCAGCAGCAGGATTAGATGTGACCTTATGGTTCTATAAGAAATAAATACAACCGGGTGGTTAAAGATGAGAGGCCCAGAGTTATAAACGAGCCTAGGAGACAACAGAGCCAGGTTCTTGAAGGTCTCTAGCCCTGTTTTTGATTGATTCCTGAGTTCTACAATTAAAATAGCACTTAACTGGTTTACAAAATAGCATTTTTCCTAGAAACAGGTTTCCCTCCTCTCTGTTGTTAGCAGATTTAGGACTCTTTTATTTTTAAAGCTATGGCAGCTAAAGAATTAAGCTGGTTTGCAGAGAGAGCTGCCCTTTGCAGAGAGAATTAGCAAGAGAATTTGTTATTAATTAACTTTTGAGATAGCTTATAGTAACTGAATAGAGGTAGTAACTTTCCTAATACCAACACCAAGTTTTCAGGGCAGGATGGAAATACTGAGAAGGCTGTGCCAGTGTCCAGGGGAAGATTGACTTCCTGGACCTTTATGGCTAGCTTTACCTGGGGCTTTGTGAGGGTGATGGCTTATGCTGGCACTTGTTTCAGGCATTCTCAGTCCTGCCATTGGGTCATCTGGTCAGACACCTGAGGCCCAGGGGACCTTGATTCCCAGGGACAGTGTGCTCTCCATTGATTCCCTTGGCACAGCAGGCATGGATGAAGTGGTGGTCCCTTCCTCTGGGGACAGTTTCTTATAACATGTCCCTTTAGACTGCACTGGTAACAAGTTCTGCCAGAGTGGCAGCTAACCCAAGCCTCTCCTTCATTTGAGCCCCTGTGGTCTGCTTGCCTGAAGGCCATAACTAAGGCCACAGCCTTTCTTGGATCTTTCCTGTTCCTTTCAGCCTGTTCCTCTTGGTTTCTGTTATAAAACACTGAGGTTGCCTGGTTTAGCAGTGATTTTAGACTCTGTTCTGGTCCCAAAGTCGGTTTCTGAATCTTCTCCTGATACCTGCTGCTAATAAACTTGTCCTTTAGTATTAACTGACCCTCAGTAGAGTTTGATGACAGGGGAGTGTACTTTCTTAAAGCCTCTTGCAATTGCTTAAGGAAACCTGTTCGGTTTTCTTCCCTTCCTTGAGTTATGGTGGATAACATTGTGTAGTTCATTGGCTTCTTTCTAGTTTACCTTAATCCCTCAAGCGTACAGGTCAGGAAATGCTTATGGCTCTAACCCCCCTGTTCTGAATCCGGATTCCAGCGAGGGTCTGTGGCAGGGACTGTCTGAGTACCTGTGGGATATCTGTCCTTATTCTCTGGCATTATCAGGTTATGTACCTGACTAAGGTACCAAGTGTCCCCAAACTCTTGAGTTGTTACTGGAGCAGCCTCTTTTTCATTGCTGGTTAGGGTTTGATTAAGCAAAAGCATGACGTTCTTCCAGTCTAATTTGAAGGATTGTCCCAGGCCCTGAAGAACATCTATATACTTGTTGGGGTCATTTGAAAACTTTCCTAAGTTCACCTTAATTTGCTTTAAGTCAGAAAGTGAGAAGTGGGTGTGTACCTTTATTGGGCCAAATTCTCCTCCCACTGCCTGTAGGGGGCAGAGTTTGGGCATCTGGGTAGCCTGAGATGCCCTGGCTGTCTCAGCCCTCCCTGGCTCCTGTTGGGGTACAGGAGCTGAGGAGCCCTGGTTGGCATTGGTGGAGGTAGTTGCCACAGGGAGCCTCACAGGTGGAGGTAGTCCAGAAGAGGGCTGAATAGGGTAAGGGGCACAGGCCTGACAGAGCTGAGGCGTATTCCTTGGGGAAAAGAATAGTTGCACAGAGGGGACCTCAAACCATTTACTGTCACTTTTACAATGCAGGTCTA